ATTGTGGTTGCAACTATAGCCTTTGGAATGGGTATTAATAAAGCGGAAATTCGATGTGTCATTTACTACAATATGCCCATGAATTTCGAGAGCTACGTGCAAGAAGTGGGAAGAGCCGGTCGTGATGGAAAACCAGCACATTGTCAATACATCGTGCACGAGAGTCAGTTGTTGCTCAACTGGTCATATGGCTGTTCGGAATCGAGGCGAGACTTGAGATTCAAGTTGATCCATTATGTCTACGGTTTTGAGACGATAGACCAATTGAAGAGAACAAGAAAACTGCAGTACATTCTCATACAAATGACCTATTCTTAATCGAAATCAACTTGTTATTTTCAAATGAAAATTCGTTAAAGGCGAATGAATTAAAAAATGAGTGAAAATATTCATGTGTTATCATTGTTGCGAATTTTGAATGTTTTTATTCAAAAAGTGTCGCTTGGCAAATGTTTGACCAACTAATAATGGTAATATCAAAGATGCCTCTGCATAAATCTTCACTGGCGTCGCATCTTTTCGGATTTTTCCCCATGAAACAGCTTCGTCGGGCCTAGCACCGCTGTCACTACCATCAAATTCAGACGCCGTATTCAGGAAAACAGAAAAATCAGCTCCATTTCTCTGCAATAATGAGCAGAAACGGGTGTGATTGGTTTAATCAAATAATGAAAAATGATCAGAATTGAATATTTGTTTAAAAATCCATCTAAATCGCTCAACTTTAATCTAAGTAGTATCTCCTTTCGAAAATTGATTCAAAGAATATATTCAATGTTTCTAATGACTCACCATCAAGTTGGCATTGCAAATATGATGTTTGATCAATCCACCACCAACGATGATAACACCTGAGTTAAGCGCCTTCACTGCCATTGTATTGAGTCTTTTCAAGTCAGATAGAATATCAACGACCAGTCCAGGATTTCGATGCGAATGGAAGTACATCATGTCACCCAAGCTTCCATCCGTTAGTGCTGGACTGAATACTGGTATTTTATTTTTGGCAGCCCAATAGCAGATTGAAGACTCGTCATTCATCCGTTGGCCTAGTCTGAATATAGACACAAAATAATGTTATTGATCAGACTTGATGAAGCTGTCTTATGATACGAATTAGCTTCACTGTGAGCTAACCTCTCAATAATTTTCGACGGTGTCCACAAGACATTGTTGGTCTTTTGTTCATTAAGCATTTCGTCAAGTAGAGGTAGAACCCAGTTTTCGAATTTACAATAATTATCATTTGGCACAAGTAAATTTCCGATTCGATTTATCCCTTTCTCACGCAGTGTTTTGCCGTCCAGTTCAAACGAGCCGATGAATGTTGGTGCCAGACATTTGATTAAATCCTCTTCAACTCCACCAGCCGTGGTCACGATACAATCCACCTATTTCAACGAGGTTTATTGCGAAACATTCAGCTTGCCGAAAAAAAAATGATGAAGACAAATCACAAACTAACCATTTTGTGTTCGACTAGAAATCGAATCGTTTCACGTAGTCCGGATGAAACAATATTTGATGTGTATCCTAGGAATATGGTACAATTGCTTTTCCGTCGAATGAACTCATCCTCTTCATAGAAATCCACATCTTCTTTTCGAATTGGAATCTCTCGACAATCTAACTGAAAATGTAATCATTATCATTCTGCCAATGGAGAGTAAGACGAAAGGTTTCCAAGTCATTTTTTACCCACCATTTTATTGACTTCATCAATGGCCTTTCCAAGATTGGTGGCCTGGAATCCTGAATGAACGTATGATCCGAGCAGTTGATCATAATCGATCCCATTATTCCATTCATAGCCCTTGACCACGGGTGTTAAATCGGGCAATTTTTCACTTTTCACCAAAACGGCATGCTTGGCAATTTCTGGCTCACTTGCGGTGCTTGCCATTATTTTTATTTAAATTAAAATTCCAATCGAATCCAATGACAACACACAATATTCAATCAACGAGTAGTATCACGTTCGAATTTATAACTAACCTAACCTCAGAAAAAGAAAACTGACATGTTCACAGTATTGATGGAACGACGTTCTGTCAAATGTCATGGTTTGATGTGAGAGTGCGAGACGGCAATACTTTTGCAAAATCGCAATTAGCTTCATACAAACCTGGCTATCGGTATGTGCATGTGTATGCGTATTGGAAAAATATTTGCATTTAAACTCGAAAAGGGAAACTGTGTACAATTTTCCGTAAAAAATTTAAACTGCTCATTTTCATCGATGGGAAAAACTGTGATTCATCGTGAGCCAAAGTAAACTAATGAAAAATTGATTGTGTTGTATTCGTTGATTGCTAAATACTGGTGATTTTCTTGTCATTGTTGTACTAAAAAACGAAACGAAACGAAGAAAAAAACAAAAACATAAAATCAGCTGTCATTCTCTCGTTCCAAAACATTCACATACGTAACAAATATTCGTGCAAACACAACGAAAACCACGAACAATAGCAGAAACGACGAAGAACAAAAAAAGCAACAGCAGTGGTCAAAACAACACATTTTCAAACAAACACGAAAAAATATGGCGAAATTGTGGTGAAACGAAAATAAATTGTGATATCCAAATTGAAAAGTCCAGAAATTCGATGCAACGTTAAATTTTCGTTGGGAAAACGACATAGTGAGAGTGAGAAAAAGAACAGAAAATTTAACCAAATTGATTCAATTGAATCGAGTGGAGTTCGATGCAAAGTAAAATTGACGAGACATTTATTGTGTTGATTCCCCCCATTGTGCTCAAAGAGTGTCGTCTGACGGAACAGAATTTTTGGATTTTTTTTTAAATTTTCAAACAGATTTGTTTCATTTATTTGCTAAAAAAAGTGTTTTACAATTGCAAGCATATACTGCAATAGAATTTTTAGTCTGATAAAGCCATTTGATACGGTTTTGTTCTCGTTCTCGTTTCTTTTGTGTGTTCGTTTTTTTTTTCTTTGGAGGACGTTTCATTGTTATGCACATTTTCTCTTGCTCGTTTCAATTTCATTTGGACAATTTATTGTGATATATATAAATAAAAATTTAAAATATTCATTGGTGTCTGTGTGCTATGATACAACGAAGTCATCTACATGAGCCCATGATAGTCTTCAATACAGTTTGTTATTTTTGTTATTGTTGTTGTTGATGTTGCTGCTGCTCCTGCTGCTGCTGTTCATTTTATTAGCTAGTACTGCACGTTTCGTTCATTCGAACTAAAAACAGAGAGTCCCGAAAAAATAACAACAACAACCACACAACATACACACGGAGTGTAGTGTTGAGTGTTTCAAACGAAGCGAAATCCATTGCGAGCAACACAACAACGTCATTGACAAACACGTACACACAGTCAACACAAACCATCGAACCAGCCATATCTACTATACATACACATACCATACACGCACACACGTTTCGTCGACTTGATGTTTGTGGGGAACGTGCGAACAACTGTGTGTAGAAATTGAAAACATTGTCAACATCAAGTCAAAAAATAAGAACGAAGAATCCGTATTTCAATACAAAGAATATATATATATATATATATATCTCATTTCAACTATCTGACATTTGGGTGATAGAAGATGAGTCTGACTGGTGGGTCTCAACAAAATGATAGCGATTCGATGGGATTTTTCGTGAATTTCAACCAAGATTGCTCGTAAGTTTAGCAATGCACTTTTTTCTTCTTCATCATAATTGTTGTTGCTACAATTAGACTAGATGAATTACGTATATGCGAGTGAATGTGATGAATTTAAATGTGGTGACAATAATGACAGCAAACCGTCGAACAGTACGATGAATATCAACGATACTTGAAATTACGCGCAGTTTTTTTTTGGCAATACCAATATGTCTATGTAAATAAACAATTTGTGATTTTTTTTAATGCATAAATTATATTTACATCGACTACAAAACCACCATTTGATGTGGAAATAGTTTTTTTTTTCAAAAATTTCATGTCATTGTCTTTGCGCGAGTGTGTTGTTCTGGAAAAGTGATTTCGTGTTTCTTTTTCTTTTCAATTCGTGTCAATGGAACAATGAAAGTAAACAATTATTTATTCATAATTACAAAACTGTGATTGAACGTTCGATTTCGAAAAAATGCTGTCAATGTTGTTGCTCTCATTTGTTGATAAGAAATGTAACGTTTTCGCGTTGCTCTTGGTATGATATGGCGAAATATGTTATAGTTTTTGCATATATGAAAACAGAGAAAAATTGAAAATCATTTCCAAAATAACAACAAGAAAAATCTTTACATTTCTGTAGATCATTGGCTGTGGGCAGTAAAAATGGATTTTCATTATTTTCACTGAGCTCGATCGATTCATCGTTAGAAGAGATCTACACAAGCTCCGGTGAAGAGATCAACATTGTGGAGCGTTTATTTAGCAGTTCACTGGTGGCGGTTGTGTCATTGAATGCGCCTCGTAAACTCAAGGTAAGTCGAGAGAAAAAAATTGCGTATACAAAGCAAAAACATGTTCTTGCCTGTTGAATTTACTGTTTTTTTCTTCTCTCGATTCGGCTCTGACTAATTCGAATGATTCATATCTGTATTTGCTCGTCGCTGTCTGTGCGCGCACAGGTGTGTCATTTCAAAAAGGGAACGGAAATATGCAACTACTCGTATTCGAACACAATTCTTGGCGTAAAACTGAATCGGGCCCGTTTGGTGGTATGCCTGGAAGAGAGCTTATACATACACAATATCCGTGATATGAAAGTGGTGCACACAATTCGCGATACACCGCCAAATCGTCGTGGATTGTGCGCCCTCGCATCCGATTCGGACCATTGCTATTTGGCATATCCGGGCAGTCCGACCGTTGGCCAAGTGCAAATTTTCGATGCGGTCACATTACAGGCCAAAATTATGATTCCAGCTCATGACAATCCACTGGCGGCAATAACATTCAGTTCGGCTGGCACGGAAATCGCTACGGCTAGTGAGAAAGGCACCGTGATTCGTGTATTTTCCGTTGAAGATGGTTCCAAACTATTCGAATTTCGACGCGGTGTCAAACGTTGCGTGGCAATATCATCTCTAGCATTTAGCACCTGTTCTAAATATTTATGTTGTAGTTCAAATACAGAAACTGTACATGTTTTTAAATTGGAACGTGTCTCGCCAGAGGCAAAAGAAAACAATCACAAAAATGAGGATTGGATGGGGTATGTGTATGATTGAACGTTATTTTAAAATGAAAACAAATGAAAAGTGAAATTTAAAATTAGAGTTTGGGTTCTTTCTATGATAATCACACGTTTCTTTTTCACAAACGTTGTTCTCAGGTACTTAAGTAAAACGGTTTCCAGTTATTTCCCAACACAAGTCACGGATGTATTCACTCAAGGTCGCGACTTTGCTACCGCTGTTCTACCAATCACCGGCTACAGTCCGATTAGTGTCATTACAACAATTCAACGTTCTCTAAAGTAAATGTGAACATATTCTTTGAAACAAAACAAAAATGCGCCTACAATCGAAATGATCTTGTTTCTTTGTTCGATTGCAAGATGCAAGGCAATAGATATCAGAAATCAGATATCCATTTCCTCCAAGAAAAAAATATTGAACAATCTTCAATTTGATATCAATTCCCACTTTCATATCAGACATATCATCAATGTAAACGCTCAATTAAACATGACTTTTCATTCGTTCACTCATTTTCAGGCTTTTGGTTGCAACCCAAAATGGATTTCTCTATGTGTATGATGTATCTGAAATGGAAGGTGGCGATTGCAAGCTGATCGTCAAACACAATTTACGTAATGTCGATACTCAACCGATTAAAGTTCAAGGTAATCACATTTTGACGCCAATGTTCAACTCGATTTGATCTATGCCATTTATGTGTTATGTATAAAATATGTATAGATGTGCAACCAAATGGAAGTCTCTTAAACAATTCACCATCAGCAACTGGTGGCAGCAATACTGGGCCCAGCTATGCATCAACTGTGAAGGCTGGCACATCAGACGATGACCAATGAGTTGTAAGCATTGTTCAAGCATAACAAAACAACACACAACTTTGGAAGTCTCAATCGAAAACAAGAATCACATCAAACAATTGTTTTCAATTCCTTAAGTAGATGAATAAAAAAAGAAGAGAAAAAATACAGCCTCCTCGTTCTTTTATATAAAATAAAATTCACGAATCACGCTTTCGAATCTAAGAACTGAAAGAACGTTTTACAATTGAGCAAGTGAGCTTGAAGTGCAGTGGAGAAAAAGATTTTTTTTTTTGAACATGCAATTTAATGAGCAGACAAGAGAAAGAGAAAGAGAAAGAGAAAGAGAAAGAGAGAAAATCTATGCGAAATTTTACTTCAAGGTAGAGTGTGTTTTAAATAGTGGCTAGTTGACAAGTTGTAAAGATAATTTTAAACAAAAGAATATAAAAAAAATGAAATTTGTCTCCATAATTAAAAAGAAGAAGATAAAAAAAATGAGTAAAGCTGTGGGTATGCAATCTAGACCATCTTTGCTTTTATACATATGTTTTTTTTACAATAAACTCGAAGTGATTCGAATCATTTTATTCAAATTTATTAATTACAAAGCACTTCAAATTGTTTAGAATTTTCATGTAATGTTAGAAACATTTTTTTGCCATTGTGTTGAACACACAAATTCTTTCTTCTTTTTTTTCTTTATAATTTGGACAATTCAAGTTTCTCATCGTAAGTGAAATTTGAAATCAATATTTAGATTTGATTTCGCCGTTTTACTTGGGCTTCATTCATTTTTAAGTATGCAATCAATTTAATGCCCAAGTAAAATGCTGAACTTGAGTAGATTCGGTAAACCCAAAAAAAAAAAAAAATATCATCCGATAAGAGAAAAAAGAACCTATTTTGTTTTCTAACCATTAAAATTTTTTCTTACTGTCTGAAATGTAATAATAAGGAAACGGAATGTAAATAAATCCAAATGAAATAAAGTCAAAGTAAGAATCAAATAGAAATTGGTTTTTATTACCGTGGAATGATTGGAAATAATAATAACATGGTGCGGATGGTCGACTTTACAAAAGCAACACTTTGAAATAATTGATGATGGGTAAGTCTAACTCCACCTGGATATCGAACGACATGAGATCATATGAGTAGTTTGGAGCGAAAATGTAATACAGAAAAGTTGCGCGGAAAAATGTCGATGATGAATGAGTGGAAAAGGGATAGCTATATATTGTACTGTATAGTAAACTATAGTGAACTATATAGCTATCTCTTTTCATTTGACATTTTTCCGCGCAACTTTTCTGTATTACATTTTCGCTCCAAACGACTCATATGAGCCTTTTGTCTTCTCTCTCTCTCTCTCTTTTTCTTCAGAAATGAATGTTGCCATTGAACATATTATTCAATAGAATTGTCCCATTATTCTTTTTCTTCGGTTGTCGCTTTGATTTTGACTTCATTACTCTGCTCTCCTTAGAAAAATAGTACTGTGCAGCATCATTCGATTGATTTCTTTTGTCTGAATGAGTGTTATTCGGATGATTTGGCTGCGACACAAGCAAATGTGATGTTCCTTCATTGAATTGGCATACATGTGGATTAATTGGATCGTCAACAAACTCTTCAACGTTTCCTATCTGAAGAAAGTCTTCATCGATAACCATTCCTACTTTGTAGCTATTATTTCCAGGTGTACACGCAAAAAATTATATGTTTCGGCGTACGGATAAGCTTCCTTTGCTATTTTATCGCTTGTAATTCGGCTAATCATCTGTTTACGATTCATGGCATGAAGGCATGGCGTTTTTGATAAATATAAGCAATTATTCAATTCGAAATTTCACAAAGAGATTTGCGTTCTATCTTTTTTTTCTTTTCTTTTGATTAATGTTCTTCAAGTGGTTAACTATTTTGGGTGCTGCAAATTTTACTTCTAAGCTACCATCCACCTTTGGTTTGTCTACATTCCTTTTGTCAGTGACGTTAGTAGACCAAATTTAAACTATACAATAAAGTGAGAAAAAGAGATGTAATTTTTACTTACATGTTTTTAAGTTGAACTTCGGCTCCAAAATTTGCAAACGTTTACAACAAAAATATGAAGATATATGTACATCTATTTATTCGGGAAAACTGTTTCGTTTAGTTATCATTTAATTTATTTTAACTAAGCAGAATGGTGAAGTACAATTTAGTTTTGTTCAAATAAATGTTTGTAATCAATTAGCGCTAAATATCCCATTCTCTTCACTAGAAATTCACCCAAAAACATATAAAGTTCGGGCAAGAAAAAAAACAACACCAAACCAATATTAAAAAATTTTCACTTTTTTTGTTCAATTAAGTTGTGCTAATATTTAATGACAGAATTTCAAAAAAAAATCACCTCGAAGAAAAAAAATTATCAACAGAAAAAAACGCGTACAGTTTAAATCATTAAATGAGTATAAAAGAGTTTCTTTCGTTTTTGTTTTATTCACATGATAAAAATGCATATATAATTTTTGTTTAGTTGTTTTTTTTTTGTGATTCATTTTGAGTATCGTTCGCTTTTGTGCTGTTGCCATTCGTATATAGGAAATAAATCTCATTTGAATATCTAACGATAATTGCTTGCATAATACATACAGATTTGCTTTGTTCTTTTCTTTCTACTATTGATCAAAAATAATAAAGACAATTTAAATTAGCTAGGATTGCATATATTGCATAATCTGATAAATTTTCAACCGAAAACAACTCAAATTGATCTGTTTTTTTTTTCTTTCGTTTTTGTTTAGTTTTGCTCTAATAATGATAGTTCTTTTATTGTTTATAAATATTATGACTGTTGATTTATTTTTTTTTGTTCTTGTTTTTCAAATTTTGTTTCGAAACGAAACGCATATATGGCCCGCGTATACAATTCGGAATGCGGCCGTAGTCGGCATTGTCATCGATCCATTTGCTATTGGCTTCCATTTATAAAATATCATAGGTTAGCATGTTTTTAATTGAAAATTTAATCGTTATCATGTTTTGTAGTAAATTGGTTGAAGAACGCTTGGTTTTACCATTTAACCGACCCGACATAGCGATGCTGTCCTTGTATGACGAAATAGATCAGAGGTTATCTTCAAATTTGGCGAAATTATTGTTGTTATTTTGTTCGGAAGATTTATTGAAAAAATCATCATCTTCGAATGGATCGTCCTGGTTGCGTGCGAATATATTGACCGATTCCGATTTTTTTATGTTATCGTGTCGCTTCATTGAAGTCACGTTTTTGAGATTGTTCTTTTTCGGTAGCTCTTCAACCCATTGATCTTCATTTTGGAACGAGAATTCTGCCTTTGAGAAATCGTCATCTTCGAATAAATCGAATTTCGAGACGGTGATCTTATCGTCAAAGCGCAACTTTTGCTGCGGTGGCGTGGAAATCATTTCACTATTGCCACCGGTCGACTGAATTGGAATCGAATGTGTGTTTTGATTCAATCTCGATGATGTTTTATCCACCGAAAAATCCGTTGAGAATCGAAGACTTTTCTCCGGTGCCGTGTTGAAATCACTTTCAAAGCCATTGTCGGGCGCTTCAAAATCGAATTTGGTCGTTCCGACATTCGGATGTGGTGTATCTTCATAGCTGAAGTCATGTTCACGTCGTGATGATGACCGGCTGCCACCACCTTTCGAGCCCTGATCAAATGAATCAAACTTATCGTACCGATCCTTTTCGCTTTGGTAGCACACGTCGCGATTGCTTCTGCTCATACGATGCATGCTTTCCATATTGCGGCTATGCTCGATACGACGACGATAATCGGCGGTGTGCCGATCCTTTCGTCGCATATCATGGAATTGTTCCTCTTCCTCCTCATCATAGTCAGCTCCATCGTATTCGTAGTCGTCACCACGTGATGCGCTTGGATAGCGCATCGTTGCATAGTTACTTCGCATGTCAGCCTCACGATCCCGACTTCGCGGCTTCCGGAAAAATCTGTCATGAAAAATCAAACGGTCATTTGAATTCTGAATTCATTTTATTTGAACAACCAGAGAAATCCCCATTGAAAACTGAAAAGAAATGATTTTTCACCTTCGATCTTTTTCTCCATCCGATCCAGACACGGCCGGATTCAATCTACTTCTTTCAGCCAACTTCCTCTCTGATTCCGAAGCACTAGCTGGTCGCTTCCATGATCTTTGACCTGCTGTCGGGATATGATCTAAATTTAAAGTTAATTTATCCAAACGCTGAATTATCAAACAAAGCAAAACAAAACCTCACCTTCACCATCCCATGGCGACGATCCGCTGCTCTTTCTCGGCCTTCGTTGCAAGCTGCGCGTTTCAGTTGGTGGCAATCGATGAATGGCTGCATCTCCATCGGAATCTTGTTCGTAGTCCTCTTCATTAGATCGTTGATTCTTGTTTGATTTCCGCATCGAACGCTTTCGATCGGCTGAAGAGTATCGTTCGCGGTAGTTGAAGCCACCGCACATGTCGCCACCGCTGCCAAACGATTTCCGTCGACGGCCATTGCTTTCGAACGATTCAGTGCTATCACGATCAAAACTATGCTTTTCACGCTCGTAGAAATAATCTTTGGGCACTTTTGAACGCATACTAAAATTCGATGTATTCTCATACACTTCATCCACATATCCCTTCCGTGAATGCTTCATTTGCTGTTCATAGCTGCCGTAATCGTCCATATCATACGGTCGACCATAGTCGCGCATGTATTTTCGTTTATCATAACCCTTGTACAGATGGCGATCAGATGAATATGGCATCGATTTCAAATCTCGTTTCTCATATGGCGGCCCATATGTGCTTCTTTCGTATGAACAACGATCAAACGATCGACCGTGATCACAATTCTCATCTTCTGGTGGCGACCAAGATCGATGATTACTTGGATGATACCAATTTTGCGAGCCTGAATAAAATAAACAAAAAATTGTCAGAATCTTGCCAAATCAAATAAATACCAAGCAAACTCACCATTGTTACGCCTGTCTCGGCGTCGGGCCTTTTCATCCTCGTATTCGTATTCGTCATCGCAGGAGTTCATTCGGCGAGCGTGTCGCATATAGAAACCGTGTCTGTCTGGATGAGACGACAAACTGCGGTGCGATCGATATTCATCATCATCCCATGGGCTTAAATCTCGCGATGATGACGATGTATGGCCTCGCCATTTTTTGTTATCCGTTTTCCAGTCGGCTTTGTCGTCCGATGAACAAGGAGATTCGGCAACCATTTTTGCGGATTCTTCTGTTAAAATCACACAACGCATGATTAATCGATTGATTTGATTTTAAATTTGGCTTTGATTTTACCTCTTGGAGATTTCGTATTCGTTATTTCGGCTGGCGCCACTTTTTCTGTGTCAAATACAGCCCAAGATTCTTCTTGTACTGGTGCTTGGTTTCCTGTGAATGCACAAAATACCTCTTAATTCTCCCGAAAAAAATTAGAAAAAACCCCAACAACAAACTTGTAATTACCATTACTAGCGATATCCTTCGCGGGATCATTCTTTGACACAGGGCTTGGTGTTGCGATTATTGCTTGATTCGGTTGTGAATCGTTGTTAAGCAATGAGATGGGTGATTTTGAAACCGAAAACGATTCAGATGTGGCCGTCTTAATGATTGGCGAACTATGAATTGGAATCGGTGATGTTGACATATCATTGAGGGTTGTTTTTCGAATGTTCAGCTCTTCGCCCGGTTCTTCGCTAATGCCTTCAATCGGTGATGATTTTTTGTATTGCAATGACAATGGTGACGTTGAGGCATTCTGTGATTTGGTTCCAGACTTTGACAATGGCGACAAATGATCTCGGCTATCGAGCGATAAATTGGAAATGGCCCGATTCATGTACTCATCAATTTCCAAATCGTCTTTGCTGCTTAAAATCGGTTGGCTAATGGTCGGCGTAGTAAGAGTTTTCAATGGATCCAAATCTTCTTGGTCGTCAAGTGTGATTGAAATGTTTGCCTCTGGTGAACTTTGTTCGGTAACATCAAATTCCTTTTCAATATCATCATTCAACGAATTGTCCACATTTTCGGTGGGTCGATCTTCGATCGGCGTTTCAACTGACGATGGCTTTTCGAATAAATCTTCCACCAGAATGATATCACGCAATGCAGCATAACGGTCTTTTGCTTGTGAAATGGCTTCGGTGATTTTTGTGTCAATTTTCGATGACAATGGTAAATTTTCGACGTCATTTGTTGGACTCTCAGCGTCCGAACTCACTTCGTTGCTTTCATTACTTTGCTTAGTGTCCGGTTTAACATGATCGGATTGCATTTCTTGGTCGATAATCTCACGGAATACGGCATACTTGTCAACCGTTGAGCCACGCGTCTGATTGAATTGATCGAAATTGGGAATGAAATCGTTGTCAATGCCAAAGTTATCGTCGAATTTTGCAATGAATGTTGAGTCGCTGGAATCATCGAAGCTCACTTTGAATACAGCCGACGATTCAGATGCTTTTTCTAGTGGAGGCGCTGTTGCGCTCGTTTCCGGTTGTGATGTTGATGTAACTGTTGCCGTTGTTGTTGACTTCGCTGAGGCAGGCACACTGGGCGGTGGATCGGATACGTTGAAATTCTTTTGCGATGACTTTTCAATATAATCGGACAGGTATTTTGTAAGCTCAACGATTGTCATTGTATTTAGTTTGCTAGCCGGAACATTCAATTTCGATGCTAAATCATCGATGCCAAGCGTTAATAATTGACTAAGTGTGATGTCAGGGATGGATTTTACTATGGGTGCACTGGTATTGACATTTTCGCTATCACTTTTGCCGGCCGATTTTCGGTTACCATCCGATGTGGCGTTGGGCACATTCTCCTCGGATCGTCGGCTTCGATTTTTAATACTACCTTTGGTTTTTGGCGGAGGGAGTAGGAGTGGAACCTCTTTTTCTGGTCTACCCGGTCCGGGATACGATTGATTTGATTCAGCGCGACCAATACGACGCGATGGCAATGGCAAGGAGGGAGCATCTCCTGACTGTTGTTGATCATGACTTACATGATTTGATTTTGGTACGCCTGAAACGAGCGAAATGATTTCGAAAAACATTGGAATCAATTGAAAATTCAACAATTTTGGCGCAATTTTCATTTGACTTTATCTGAATTCAATAGTTTAATTTCACCCGAATTACAATCTGTTGTTGAATTCGTTAAAATGTCTACGAAAAAGGACTAAAGTCTTTCTTGTTTGAGCCATCAACAATTGAATGGCATTTACAGGTAAAAACATCATAAGATTTGCGAAAGAGTAGCAAAAATTAAAATGTTTACTAACCGTATCTGGAGGAATCACGGCCCATGGCAAGAGGTGATGTAACGCGCGGTCTGATAACGATGTCGGAAAATTGCTTTTTTGGCGGCAATGGCGGCGGTTCTGAATGTAAATTCGTCTCAGGCCGTGGCGGTGGCTCCGGAACGATTTCATTCTCACTGTATGAGTCGCTTTCCTGCAGTCGACGAACATCCTATCGTAAAATGATAATAAATGTTAAATCTTATGACATAAAAAGAGTGAACGAAATAAAATCACATTAATTTCATTATTGTTATCGCGGATTCACTTTGATTATACGTTGAATGTACGCAGCTTTCGCGCTCAGTTAGATATAGTTCAAAATTGATATAGCACGTCTTAAAACTGCAATTCAAATTGAATCACGTACCTGCAAAGGCCCATTAAAAAGTTGATGCTTCGTTGCTTTATTGGATTCCGAAAAGGCTATATCAAATGAAGCAATCGATTAATTAAGTGGTTAATTTTTTTATTGAAACTAAAAAAACGACGTTAAAATTTCCATTGTGAAGGTTAAAAAGAAACCACGATGTTCAACGTAGTGATGGGCTTAGAGTGCAAAAGAAGAGTTACCTTTGCTGAAGCTAAAATCGAATGTGCTTGATGGTTTGGAGAATTCATCTTCGAATGGATCGAATTTGCGTACACGTGGTGAAAATGGATCAGCTGAATCGTTAACCTTATTGGCATTGGAATTGTTATCGAATGGACCGGGAAATGAGCTGCCTTGGTTCGAATACGGTGGAACTATTGCAAAAGGACAACAATTTTCAATAAATTACCGAATAGTCCGAACATGCAGAAGAAATGTGAGGCAAACAAATCTTACCATTGTCGGATCGTGATAAATTTGGTGGTGTTCCATGCGTGCCATTGTTATTTGGTGAAAAGATTTGTGTGTTTGATGAAAATTGGGCAACAAATTCATCGCTTTGTTCGCTTTTCTTGCGTGAATCTTGTAGCGCATTGTCGATGTTCGATTTCTCTTGGAATACCGAAAAATCGGATGTACTTTTTGGTTCTGATATAAAGCTTGTGGAGAATCCATCGCGATCTGATAAATCTTTTAGCACTTTTTTCGGTGGATTTTTCAAATCTTGGAAGAAATACTTTTTATCGATGTATGGTCGTATTTTGCCCGTTCCAAGTGGATCCAAATCGGAGAATGCATCAATGTAATGCGATGCAGAGGAAGTGGCGGTCAATGCGGTCGGCGTTGTTTGCATTAAATTATCATCGGTTGCCACGATATCGTTGACACTTGTTACCGATGTGGATAGCTTAAGTCCGTTTCGATTTTCATTGTCACTTGTTTGATTCGTTTTTCCTAATTTCATAACATCACTGGAATTCAACCAATTTTCGTCGGCCGTTGATTTGGCTTTGATTTTATTCGAATTATCCGTCGAACTGCTAATAACTGCCGTCGAAGCGTAATTATCGTCTGGTGGCTTCAATTGCTTCGCATACCGCGATTTTGTTGACTCGGGCGGTGGCAGCAGATTGTAGGTCTGCAAAAAGTGGAATTTTAATTTTTATTGAACGGATTGGAAAAGCACCTAAACGAAAAAAAAGAATGAATTGGGATTTCCCTTACAGGATATTGTGTGAACGAGTCGCCGAATGGATCATCTTCGTTCAAATTCTTTGTTGGCGGTTCGATTGGTGTAATCCGTTCCATTTGCGTTATTCCACGCTGTATTGAACTTAACTCTTGTTCTAAATCCACTAGATCAGCTACCGATTCGGGAGACATCTAAATTGTGCAAACAAACCCATGAACAAAACATCACGTGATTAGTTAGTTGTTTGTTAAACAAAACACTCGTTTTGAAACGAGAGTAATTTATTTCGCAAAATTTACTTCTTTATGTGTATATTTGGATGTTGCACTAGTTTCACTATGATCCTTATTGTATGTTGAATGTGATGATTCTAATGTACTCTTGATATTCAGTGTTACTGGTTGATGATCGTGGATCGATTTGCTTTGTATATGTTGACGCGCCAATTCAATCTCTTTCTTCTTCAATTCAAACACCACTTGGAATAGGTCTCGCATGGCGAGAACCACCTAAAAATTAAAGCAAAAAAAAAAATAGCGCGATGTGGGTTCGTTGCCAGAAATCCATTTTAGAATAGAACATCGTTTTCAAGATCAAGCGATGACTCATCGCGAGTCAAACAAAGAGTATAAACTCACTTGACTAGCTGCTTTGTCGGTTTTGATACCAAAAAATCGATGGCCACTTTCCGGTGAACCAAAAATGTAGCCAAACGCTCTGGAATCGGTCATATCCTGCGCAATGAACGATATTTTATGTACCGGATGATGGTACAAAGAGTCACCAGTACGTTCGTCCCGCAATCGTAATCCATCAATGGTGACATTTATTGTGATTCTCTGTTTGTGCTCTCCAGCTGCTCGAATTGCAGTTTTCAAATCCTAAATCAAAAAAAAAACATCGCATTCAAGTTAATTCAAGCTGAATTGTTAGTGAAATAATGGAGAAAGAAAATCGTGCATCAAATGTAAAACTTTGCTTGCCTGTAATGCTTCTTGGCACATTCGATCACCGCGAGCCTCTCCCACTTCGAGAATTCCGATTAGTTTCGCCTTGAAAATGACTCCATCACCAAAAAATCGACCTGGATCATTTCGATCTGCAACGAATAAACGAATTTAATTGCATTGCCAATGTGTAAATGGAGAAATGTGTGCGAATCTGGTATTTGCGCACTTAATCCCATCTGTGACGACTTGTTATGAGTGCCATTAAATAACAGAAATTTAAAAAACTGAAACGTTTCTTTACTTTTGTATGCCTCTTGCGAGCCTGCCATTTCAACGCAAAATAGCAAATTTTTTTCGTTTTCAATTCAACTTTTGCTAATCACAAAGTCATATTTCGTCCTTTTTTTCTTGCTCACTCTAAATAAAAAACAATACTTAGAAACGAATACACAAACTATATAATCTAAAACTACAAAACAATAAAAAAAAAAAGAATACTGAATACTGAATATTATATACATTGACTGACATAGGTAAAGAGTCCAATAGTTGACAATAGAAACGTCATACGAGAGAATACATGAAAAGAAAACACAACGAAATCATAGTGTACGATCAAATGGCTATCGAACCGGAACGAATGGGTTCTGTTGAAGCTGCGGTAAAGTTACCCGATGAAAAACTACTATGCTCGAAAATCAAAACGAAGGGTTGCAGAAATGGCAAATGAAAACGAAAGAAAAAGAAAACTAAGGGCGATTTTTAATTTCAATCACTTACACTTGCAAGGGCTAGTTTTCTTCCGAAGCGTTTGCATTTTGACCAATTCGACTAGAGTGAAAATCACTGTGTTATATATAGATAGATATTTTCTTTTTCGTTTATACTTGATTAATAAAATCAACTATAGCACTTATGAAGATTTAATTTTCTTCTTCTTCTTTTTCTTCTCTCTCTCTCTGTATCTCAAGTATAGATTAAGACCAAACTAAACGTAAAAATTTCATTCTCACATTTTTGCATTGTTTGACTTTATTTTGGACTAGCAGTGCAATCTAGTTGATTATTTCGGTTGATTTTTTATCCAGATAATAAATGGGGATCTGCAATGAAAGAGGAAACATAAAGAGAAATTTTGCCAATGCTTATTCGTGTTTTCTTATTCGTTGGTTATTTCTTGATATATTTATGTATGTTATTAATAAGCAAATGAGTTGAAATCCAAGAACGAGTGAGTGAGACGAGGACAAGCAACAAAATAGAATCCAATGAAAATGTGCAAGTAAATTAGGGGGCTGAATGGTTTACCGGTGTTGTATGCATGTTTCGTGTTCATTACATTTGTGTCTCTGTGTATATGTATGTGTGTGTATGATAGGTGTTTATCACCCATATGCAATGCAAATTCCAATATTGATTTATCTCATTTCCATTGCAATTCAACACACCACAATTAAATAACGAACATACAATTGTTCAATCAAATTCGTCTCGCAATGGAAACAATGATGCAATCCTTTATCAAATTTCGGTCAAATTTTCGATTCGGACGCACTTTTACGCCAACGAAAAAAAAACAAACAACATCAACATAGAAATTTGTAACTAGAGATTTTTTGTTTTTTTTTTAAACACGACTATATAATATTGACTATTCGGACGTTATGTGAGTGTATTATGTTACAGGTTAGATATATACGTTGTATTGTTACGGATAAACTAACATTAAATGGATTTGCAATAACAAAATTGAGTTGAATGCAATTTGATTTGTTGCGGAAAACATTTATTTATCTAAACACAAATAATTCAATTGCCGTACACACACAAACACACGATTTATTGACTCGATCAATGACAATTACTCCAAACAATAGCATAATCGATTTTTTGCACTTCGCCGTTTGTACACACAGATTTCCATTGAAACGAGAGCGAACCAGTTTACTGGCGTCAATAACAATGATTATGATGTAAGAACGATTTTAAATTGATTTATTTCGTTTTGAATGGAAAACACACGAGTATTGATTGAATCAAATGATTAATTTTAGCACGAACTAAAATGATGTCTTCTCTTCAGGCTATTTACTCGACATAAATAAAAGCAAAAAAATTGCGCCTAGTCAAATGGGAACTCCTGAAAATTCACTGTCATTTATTCCAATAAAAATGCTCGTCCCACAGAGACTTAGTACGCGCTTATATGGACACACATCGAACTGTGTCGTATTGTTTGCATGTAGTTTTTCCACATGAAACAAAAAATTCATATCAACCCCATGAAATGAGTTGTTTAGATGTGTGCGCAAACGAACGAGCGAGTGTACGATGAAAACTTCGCATATCCTATTTTTCTAGTTTGGCATCGGGCAACACCATTCTCATTGCAAGAACGAATACTGTGCAATCAGGAAAACCTTTGAGTGTTTCTGATTGGAAATCTAGACAACCGAATTTATATTTACTGTTCTTATTCTTCATGTGCTTTGAATTGGCCCGATGAATCGAAAATTGTTATTTTTTGATATTTTAATAAATTCTACGGATTTCCTTTCTTCGTATGATTTTTTCCAAGAATTCAACACAGAAATAAGTTTCTGGAACAAAATTGGATGTTGAATTTAAACGTGGTTTGACGTGTGTAAAAAGAATGAATTTTCTAACCGCTTTTTAGTTGAAGTCGATATTTTTTCATGTCGTTGCTGATAAATATGATTAGCTTTCAACTATGATGCTGCGCATAACAACTCGCATGAAATGTCATCGCGGTGGTTCTATTTACATTTTCGGCCGAATTTGTGACTGGAACCAAGAAGCTACAGCAAAAAAAAAAAGTATGTTGGTTTTATTGCCGTCGTAGAACATACTGCGCAATCATATCGTTTGCACAGCCAAACAGAATTCCTCCAGAGCTTGTCGTATTTCGCATGGAAAAAGCGCCATGACATACAGAGAAAAGCTTGCGCTCAGGGCACACATTCGGTTTGTAAGTATATCACTCATTATATGCTCCCCACATACGCACAAACACATACAAACATGCTTATTGGGTTGTCAACTGTGTCGATGCGATAGCAGTGGAAAATTGCTGAAAGAGAAAAAGGGAGCGATAAAGTGTTCGCTTTACGTCGAATGCTTTTCGTGTAAGTTTTCAGGCATTCCGCCATATTGTTGGCACAGCATAAAAGTACGGAGTAAATTGGACGAGGCGAAAAAAAAACTTCTCTTTCTTTTTTTTTTACTTATTTCACAAAACACTAGCTTAGCAAACGGGAAAGCTCATAATTGGCCAAATAAAATATAAATACAATTGCAGAAATAAAAACATAATTGAAACAAAAGTATTTTTGATGTCGAAGAAATTGTCGAGATTTAAATTAATCAGAATGAACGAGGTGCTGTGTTAGTAAAAGGTTTCTTTTCGTGCAACATTTAGCAAGAGGAATTGGGAGAAAAGCCAACAAGGATCTTGGCGTGTGAAAAGTGAAAAAAAAAACGAGGAAGAGAGAGAGAACCAAAAGGAGGAAAAAAACGACAGAGAGAGAGAGAAAAGAACGAAACAGAAAAGAACGGAGTGAACGCAACGGTACGGTTTACGAAACTGAATGCATTTGAATAAGCTAACAGCACTTTATTGGGTCACAATGGCGACTTTTTGAAAGTAAAAACACCACAAAAAACCACCCGACAAACAATTCCAGTTTCATTTTTGATATCTCATCATTATTTCGTTCCGTGTTTTGTTTATGTTGCGTTTCGCAAAACCATTTATTTCTTCTATGGCAATATGTTAACCAGGGATAAATTCAACGCCATGCGTTTGTGGCGATTAATTATTTTTGTTTTGATCATATTATCCATTTTGGTTGGATTGACATGGGAAACTGAGCCACGCGAACCAAAGCCCATCAAACACAGTGTGTAAGTAAATTCAAATCAATCAAAATGCATCCAATTGAAACAGAAAAAAAAAATCAAAGTGTGAAAGTTTGTGATGTATTAAAAGAAATGGAAATGAGTCACACCGAGTGTGTGTCTACGTCAATTGTTTCTAATTTCACCATGTTTTATTTTCTCTCTCTCTCTCTACTTGTCACGCACAGTGTCAAGGCATGGGCCGATAAATTAGGTATTGAACTATGGCATTTGGGCAATTTTATAACACGAAGAAAAGAAGTACAAGACGTAAGTACACTCAATCAGATGCAAATACTAATTGAATTTCCCCAAATAAAATTTAATTTCTTGGTGGCATTTCCTTTCCATCTCTCTCTATCTCCCTCACAGAGCTTCAAAACAGCTCAAGTTGTGCCAAGAGATGGGAAAAAGATTCTGGAAAACATGGTGATGGAGATCGAGTCCATGTTCAAATCAAAAATCAGTGCCGTACAGCGAATTATGGATGCTGCGGAAAATGCCGCACAATCGCATGACAAAGATGCGTGTAACGAACAGTTTTCCTATTACGATGCAAAGGAAATGCTAGAACCACTGGATCCGACAACAACTATTGCACCGAAAAAGTTCGACGATAGATCCCTTGATCCACCTAACGTAACAATACCACGTATCAGATTACATAAAAATCGAAATTTTTATAATATTCCCGTGAATACTTCGTTAAGCTCTGTGCATGTGCCGACGAATGTGTACGGAAGGGGTAAGAATGCGCCACAAAGCCAAGAACAAAAACCGAATCAAAAGTGTAATTTTCCCTGTGTTTTTTGTTTTGCAGCTTGTGATGTTATAAAGGACATTGAATGGTCCAATAAATTAGATAGAATATTCAAAGATAATTATCAAAAGGATCCAACATTATCATTCCAATTTTTTGGTAGTTCGACTGGATTTATGCGACAATTTCCAGGTGAGTAATGATTGATGTTGCAATTTGTGTTGAGTGATCAAAATTCAATATTTTGTTGCCGTTGCAGCGTCTAAATGGAAACAGGATCCAGTAGATTTATTTGATTGCCGCCTCCGCCCGTGGTACATAGAAGCGGCGGCTAGTCCAAAAGATATGGTTATTCTAGTCGATATATCAGGTAAATCATATTGCCCCATACCTCTTGAATAACCGTTGACTCATCCATTTTGTATTCGACATTTACCGTTGCAGGTTCGATGCGTGGTCAGCGTAAAGATATCGCCAAACATGTAGTTTCAAATATATTGGAAACCCTAACCACGAACGATTTTGTCAATATTTTAAAATTTTCTGAGCGAATCGAGTCGGTTGTAAAATGCTTTAATGAATCCTTAGTGCCGGCTACATTAGATAATATTCGAAGTTTGAATACCGGCATGGAAACCATCGAAACGGAAAAGATTGCCAACTATTCACAAGCACTGATCAGTGCCTTTGAAATTCTACAATCGTATCGAATGAATGACGAGGGTGCCGGTTGCAATCAAGCCATTATGCTCATATCGGACGGTGTGCCGCATGATTTTAATGAGACATTTCAACGATACAATTGGCCAAATGAAACATATCGACCGGTTCGATTGTTCACGTATTTAATCGGTAGCGAAGTGCCCGATTTTCAGCTGATCAAAGAAATGGCGTGCATTAATCAAGGCTATTATGTGCATTTGAGTGTACCGTCTGAAGTGCGCGAACAAGTGCTACGTTACATACCGGTTATGGCACGGCCACTTGTCCTTGGCAGACAGGAGCATCCAATCATCTGGTCGCACGTTTATGCTGATATTATTGTGAGTCGATTGTTAATTATCTGAATCCATTTCAAATTGTAACTACTTCAAGGCTAATCGCTGAACAAGAAGTGATTGAAGTCCCAAATTAGTCGATAATTTAATCATCAAAGCCTACCAAAGACACTAATTTAGGACGTTTATATAGTTTTTGGACGAATTCAGCAAAAAAAAAACAAGGTTTTATTCGTTTTGGAAAGAAGAAAAGCTAATCGAATTTCTTTGTGAACAGGATCCCAAAATGACCGACTACAAATGGGAAATCAAGCAACGAAGAAAACAAAAGGATTTGTTTTTAAACTATCGAAATGTCCAAACGGGCGATGGCAATGCAACATTCGATGATCGGCTTTACAAACCATCTAAAAATGAGGTACACATTTTATATTTCAACTATTTTTTATCGCATTTTCCAACCAACTCTGTTCTTTTCATCAAATTGCATCTGTTTTCCCGTTTATTTTTCTTTTTTCGCTGAATAATTCTACAATTTGATTAATCTAAATGATGATTAATCACCTTCATACCATTATACCATCATTTTTACTTTATTTTCAGGATGAAACCACCACTGAAGAGTATAATATGCTAACAACGGTTTCGATACCGGTATACGATCGCCGCGAGAGTGCTGTAAGTTGAAATTAAAAAACTAGAGGAGCTCAATGCTTTCTCTTCACATTCTATTCTTTATTTATGAATCTAAACCGAATGACCATTTAACACTTGGTAACCCCATTGAAGAGGGGGAAAAAGAAGAAGAAGAGGAAGAAAAACAAACAAAACATATATAAATAAACACAAAAATCAATAACAATATAAGCGGCATACATTGCTAATTTTTTTCCAAATAAAAATATGTCAATTGTGAAACAGAATATCACCGAAGAAATTCTCATAAATGAGGCACATTGGATATCAATTACACGTGAGGTATTACATGAAAGGAAATCAGTAGGCTAGGCTTTAAAAAAATCTTTTTCACTGTTACCTATTTAAACAACGCTTAGAAGTGTTCTATTTTTTTCGATATATACATAAAATTGAAATCAAAACGACATAGACCAGAAATCGATATAATTGCATAGGCACGCCGAATAAATTTGCATAGATTTCGAAGAATTTAAGCTAAAGGTTAAATTTTTCTTAGAAATTAGCTACTCATTCGGTTAGTCTAACGTTCCTTTCCATTTAGATGTTAAAATTTGTACAGTGTTGAATACGGTTAGAGACACATATATAGAAGTGATAAAGACGTTATCATATATCAGTAGGTAAAGGTATAGGTGTTATAGCCCATCGGTCAATTAAAAACTTGTGCAAATTATCGAGACACTTGATCCAAGTTGATGTACTTTTGCTGCTGACTTTTATGATTAGCCACAATTTGTGTTTTTTTTTTGACAACAAGTAAACATGTTGACTTTTGATCGAAAAATCATATAACCCGCTAGAAGATATATATACTTTTTTCATTAGATACTGTAAAATAAATGCCTAGCTAACCGAGGTCAAAACAGTTGAACTATTTTTTTTTTGTAAGGTTTTGATCTTCTTTTTTAGATGATAGAAACGAATTTATTAGCCTTTTAGAATTATTGAGCCCAATATCTTTTCAGCCAAGTGTCATAACATTGAATTTTAGATGACATTTATCATTTGTTGCTTCTCCATTTATAACAATGGTTCAAATTTCGAAAGCTAGATTTTTGTTTATTCAAACAATAAAATTATTGAAAATTAGAATATTTTTAAACCCATTTTTTTCTATTTCGCACAATGCATTTGCTGTATACAAATGTGGTACAATGTGAAGTTTGGATATAAAAAAAAGAACAAAAAAGAGTAAATTTTCAAGAAAAAATCAAGAAAACTCCTGTGTAACGTTGAAAACGAATCGATTTAGTTCAATTCATTTAATCTTTTTCGTAGACATCTTTCGTTAATTATTTTTGAATTTTCTAGTGTGTTTTTTTTTGCTTTTAAAATTATAGGTATTTGTATTTTTGTTAAATGAAATGTTTTAAAATCGATTTGTGCATTCAAAGTAACTACTCTACTCTTGTTTGTTCTTGAAGGCGATTTTGTTCGTAAAAGAGTTATCAACAGGTTCCATATAATTGAGAAACTAAATAACAACAACTATGTGCTATTTCAAAATAAATTTCTATCGTATTCTTGACGAAATGTTTTCATTTCCATGAAAAATGTTAAAACTTTTTTGATAACTCTTTTTTTTAATCGCTGATTTAAATGGCCAATAGAAGCCAGTGGTTAGATACAGTCAGTATGAAAATTCTAATGCAATTGATTTATTTATAACACATGTTTATCGGAACGAATAGATGGCAATCGCCAATTTGTTGGGTGTGGCTGGAACCGATGTCCCGATTCGAGATATAAAAAAGCTGATGATGCCATTTACGGTACGTTTTCATTGATTATGATTCAATTTCGATGTTAATACTAATTTAACACCTTGTTTCAGTTGGGTGTCAATGGATATGCGTTCATAGTGAATAATAACGGCTATGTGTTGACGCATCCAGATTTGCGACCAAGCGTAAGCATTCACACAAAATCGTATACATTTTCAAAACCGAATCGTTTACATTTTTTTTTCTTTACTCGTTCAGTTTCAAGGCATTTTGAAACCGGCCTATAACACAATTGACATGCTCGAAGTTGAACTTCTAGATGATGCTCGCGAACCACGGGATTTTTCGGATAGCTTGTTAAAGGTAAGGATTGGAAGGCGACCGAATGAAACTTTATTTTTATTTGTTGAATTTGGTATTTGTTTGAAAACATTTATCGCTCATTTTTCATAGCGAATATGAAACGTCTCAATTGAAACTAATAAAATGTTGATTTTTGTTTAGGTTCGCGAGCAAATCATAAATCAAGAGAATGGAACCGCGCATATGATGGTGAAATATCATTTGGATAATATGGTAAGAGCAAAATAGTCACAAGCTAATTGAATCAAGCAAAAAGCAAATTGTTTTCAACGAGAAAAATTCTCATTTCTATCCACAGAAACGTGTGTCCCGATTGAAGCGAAATTATTACTGGACGGCGATTCCACAATCGCCATTCACTCTAGTACTTACAATTCCTGAACCGTATGGTTTGAATCGTTTACAGATTCGGTATGAAGACGAAATTCATCGTGTTCATGCTAAAGGAAATGATGTTCTTAGCTTTTTTGAGGGGCACCGATGGCGAGTACATCCTGACTGGTATGCATCATTTCTAACATTTTTTCTGTACACATTCAGATTCGATCGTGAAGAATCAAAATTATTTCCTATATTGACATAGTATTTTTTAACTAATTCCAATTCTAAATTGAAAAATTGTGTCCGTATTTGTATCGCAGGCTGTATTGCAAACACGCTGAATTGCAGTTTGAAACGCCAGAGGAGGAACTAAAGTACTTTTTGAACAAAACAAAAAACTCACGTTGGAAGTGGAAAGGACGAACTGCAGTGTCGCCCGAGCATGCAGTTCATTGTAAGTAGCAAATTCACATCAAAATTCATTTTTCATAGGATGGTTTTATTAAATAGTATAAATTTTTTTTTTTGAAAAACATTTTATGCTAAAAACATGTATGATGTGTTTTTTTTTCTTGGGTCGGTGACGATTCGAAGAACGGGGCTAGAATTCTGAATTCAAATAAATCGATTAAAATTATGTGCGTCACATTGTATTTCGATGTGCCAAAATAATGCAAAAAAAAATTAGTTGCCAATAATCATTTAATCGATCTTAGAGCGTAGATCTTGTAGTTGCTATCAGTTTTTAATATCATTCTTTGGCATATACAATACAAAGACATTTTTCCATTAGAACTTGAGACAAAAGCTCGGGATGACGGGAAATTGGAATTTCAGCCCACTCAGCGCGAATAAAATATGTTATCTTGTTTTTTTGTTATTGTTATGACTTTTGTTTTCTAATCGGTTTTTCTTCTTAACTGTTGATATTTATGAAATGCCGAGCAAAAAAAAAACAAACTTTCTAATGTAATTTAAAGTATAAATAATCTCTCAAGTAGTATTTTGAAGCTTGCTTCTGCTTCGACTATATTTTTAATTGATTTCACATCAATCATGCATTTAAATCCATTCCATACCATTGATCATTGATCCCATCAATCGTAACCTGAAATCAAACCAACAACAGGTGCACATTCAGAAAAAAAAGAAGAATCAATTGAATGCATTCGTTACCAACAACTTATATGCATTTCCATCGACAAAAAATGGATAAGACGCGACCGATGCCTTATTTGAATAAAAGAAACAATTTTTTTTAATGTCGATAGTTTAGATAGAGAAACAAAAACGCCGTTTTAATTTGTATAATAATAAGTAAGAGAAAACAACAATTATCGATTTTACGTAAAACAATGATTGAAACTGGCTGATCAATCCACAGCAAACACAAGTACTGGGCGAACATCGACCATAAATGATAAGGATTCATATTACTGTAAGTATTTCATGAAATTTCATCAAACCAAAACTAACACACACAAAAAAAAACAGCCAATAGCAAGAGAAATTATTTTCTTGTTACAGCAACTTGATATGATTAGATAAACACTGCAAAGTGATGCGCACAGTTTTAGGTTCAAGACAATTTCGCACCAACAATGTTGTCCCAGTGTGAATGTTTGTGCCGATGCACACCAGATGTATTTTTCGGTGTATATTCAATGTAATCGGACAGTTTTTTTTCTTTCTTCTAAACATTTCCACTTCGATTCTAAATTATTGAGAATTTTAAGGGAAAAAAAACTATTATCTTCCAAATCCAACGATTTCGTCGAGAAACCCAATTTAGACAATCATCGATAGAATAACCGGAATAAATTTTTCATTTCATAATATATTACACATACTCTTGCATGTCAGAAAAACAAATCAAAACCAAAATCCAAAGAAAACACATATTAATCACGTTGCAAATTGAAAAAAGCAGCAAAAAATAAAAGTCATCTCCATGCCAAATTTTGTAAAGTTTCATCTGAGATTCAATACCTTCAACGTAGTATCACATCAAATAACCTCATTAAATCATATCCGTATAATCATTTGTTAGCTTTGCTGCATATGTTTATTCTATGGGAATGTTTTTTTCATGTAGTTTGAGCGAACAAAGTTCTTTTTTTTTATCTATAAATTAAACTAGAAACAAAGAATAAACAAATTTATTCCGAAAGGAAAAGTGGTGAAATGCCAAATGTCAATCACATATTTGAACCATATCAATTTCAGGCGATCGCAGTTTGATGCAAGAGGTGGTTTTCGATGCAAAAGTCACCGAATGGTTCTCGAGGAACGACAGCTTCAACACAAAAGATGGGTAAGTTTAAATATTATAATCAACCACATCGTCGATTCCGTTTCAATTATTTCATTTAATTCTCAACAATCAAAAATAAATGAAATTCATTTTAGTTTCATTTGACTCTCTAAATTCACGCTTAGATACAACAACAACAACAAAAACCACTTACGTTAAAGACTCTTAACAATGTTCAATTCATTATTTTTTGTTTGTCTTCAAAATTAAAATCAACATGGACCATTTTGCATGCATGGTTCACAATGAAATTCTGATATAATTCGCATTATTATAAACTTATAATTTAATCACTCAAATCAAATCATAATATATTTGCACAACTACACACATTTTCAATGGAATAGCCCTAGCCCAATAGCCGTTTTAATTGGCTTACTGCCAAGGTAAATAATTACGATAAACAAACAATCTACATAATATTTGCCCAATACACATACACACACACATGCATACACCAGCATTGCCTCACAAACATCGAAGAGCCGTAGAGTGCTCACACTCACTCTCTGCCTTCCTAAATTTCAAATGGAATAGTCAGCAAAAAAAAGCCATCAACCGAATTTAATTGAATCATTTGACCAATTCAATCGAAGCAACGGAACTGCGCCATACCATTGTATTCACTAACATGTATCGATTCTATTTGTAGGAACGAATTCGATCAACGATTCGGCATAACGACCGCTTTCTTGGCAACGCATAGCGGCTTGACTCGCTGGATGGACTTTCAGAAACCGAACAACAACTATGTAGCCGATTCGCATCCAGAGTATGTTTCAAACGAAACGGTTTTTTTTCTTACATTTTTCGTTTTCAATTCTGTTTATGATCATTTGGTTGAAAGTATTTGGCCTGTATTTTCCGAAAGAAAGCAATAAAATTTAATAATAAATGTATTCTTAATTGTAGGGAACCATCCGTGAGCAATTTCATTCGCGAGCATCATCGTTCAGTTGATGAGGTGTGGTACAAACGTGCCGTTGAACAACATTATGTCGAGCCGCAGAGTTTCGTTTATTCGGTGCCATTCAATCAAGGTTTGCATTTTAAATACACTCATTTCTAAACGAGCGCCGAATAATAACTGAATTGATGTACATTTTATGCAGAGGACACAACAATCGATGTCAATAATATACTCGTTACGGCGAGCCATGCAATTTTCCACACCGAAGACAAAAAATCCGCCCCAATCGCCGTTGTCGGCTATCAGTTTCAACACTCAGCACTCCAAACTCTATTCAAAAACATTACAACCAATGTAAGTGCCATAGCAAATGAAGTTTTCAATGTATATTGATTGATTCTTTTTGCAACTGTACAAAATAAATATGGAACTTTGTGTTGCTGTTTGAGTTCATTGAATGTTCTGAATTGAGTTAAATGACTTTATGTTTTTTTTTCTTTTAAACCAATGACTAAAAATTCGCTTTCCTCCACTTAGTGCGGTGAAAATTGTGCAAAAACATGCTTCTCGAGAGATCCAGATATTGAATGCTTCATATTAGACAATCATGGATATGTAATCGTCACTAAAGAGCCAGATAACACGGGCAAATTCTTTGGCGAAATCGACGGCAAGCTAATGCAGAGCTTAGTTATAGAAAATATCTACGAGGAGGTCAACATTACGGACTATCAAGGTGTCTGCTACATGAGCATCAACGATGGTAATCCAGCCAACATACTACAAACGGTACGTACCGCCACATCTTTCTTTTTCTTGAAATGTTTTCTTTTTTTTCCCTGGTCTGAAGTGAGATTTTATTGAAATATTTTGTGATTAATACAATAATCTTCGTCATTTTTCATATATTCCACAGCCATTCTTATATATGATAAAATTAATCAAATGGACGATCAAACTAATTGCATGGGCCATCGTACAAACCTCCATACTACCGGTCGATGCGAATGATGCGCTTGGAATGGATTATGAAAATGGTAAATATATTACCAATTGACATAAAACTGCCAAGAAAAAACATAGAATTGAAATTTTGGACTTAATCTGAAAGAAAAAAAATGAATATTGAAATGATTTGTTCGTTTGTGTCATTCTGCAGCAGATTATCCGTCATCAACGATGCTACCATTTCAACTGAACGGCGAAGAGAAAATCAAAACATTAAATAAGTCTGCCATAATAAATCGCACAAGGCTATATTCGTGTGATCAAACGATAAAACTATACACATTATCGCCGTCATTAAGAAATAGATCTACAAATCGTGCCCCATCGTGCGAACGGTAAGCAAAATTGTGAACCACCGGCCAAAACACACGCATTTGACATGCAGTTTTTTTTCTTCAATGATTCAAATGTGGTTTTATCCTGTCCATATTCGTTTCAGACCATTTGTTGTGATGCCGATACCAAATAGTAATTTAATATTGTTAGTTAAAGACTTGAACTGTCCCGTAGTTGGTGATATGTATAACAAAATGACAGTTGAAGCTGAAGAATATAAATACGTGACACGAAACAGTTGCGATGCGATGCCTTGTTTAACATGTTTCAAAGCAACAAGACAACTATTCCGCCGACGACCAGCTAGCTGTATTAGTCAGAACAAAAACGTGAGTAACGTCACACATAAAAAGTTTAAAATCGATTGGAAATAGCTATCAATAGATCATGTTTTCATTTTGAATTTCGATTAAAATGATAATGCCTTCGTTTAACTTCATTTCTTTCGATTAGGAATCTGAAATTCAACAATGTGGACACGGGAACACAATATCAATCAGCTTGATTTTCATAGCATTAGTAATATTTATCGGTCAAATTCTCTAACAACTGCATGCATAACAAATATGAACAATTGTATTTTTTTAATTGTATTATAAATTCAACTTGAAAAATGAAGACAATTTTTTCCGTTCATTTTGAAGTCAAAGAGCTTTTATTTCAAATCAATTACTGATTTATTAAAAAAAAAAAGAGATTTATTGTGACCAGTGCTGATGTTCTGAAATTCGCTGGCGAATCGTTCGGTTGACTCAGTCGATTTTTTTTCCAATGCACAAAATAAATCGTGTTTAAAATGATGGCGCATAAATTCTAATCAATTCATTCACATTATGTTATTTTTCGCGAAATAAATCCATTCATTGAATAAAACTAAACATTTGTGGCTTTTCCATCGTCAAATTTTCATTGCGTGCGATTTTACTGCAGGAAAAATCGAACAATTCGCCAGCTGGTTTGAGAATTTTGGCCAAAATGAAGAAGAAAAATATTGTAAAAATATAATGTTCACACATTTAAATCGCCCCCAACAAAACACATACAAAAAAAATTCACACACTAAGAACATGAATTTTTTTGCGGATTTAAAAAAAAAGAAGAAAACAAAGTGAAAAAAAAACAAATGTCAGACAAGTTGTAAATAAATTTAAATCTTGTTTAAAAAAAATCCCATATTCCCAGTCATAAGCTCCAAACAAATTTCGTTATATTTACAAAACATAAGAAAATGAACTTTTTATACAAAGTGGCAATTCACACTTTCACACAAAATCACATATAACATACACACAAATTTGATATTATTACCTGGAATGGACGGGATGCACAATTAAAATTCGGAGTGCATGGCCAGCGAAAATCAATGCGGTATCGAACCACTAGAGCAAACACTTCGAATCACTCGGCCCATCGAATTTTGATTGGGTTTCCGTTCGATTTTCGTTTTAACTTGATTTAAATCTCTATTTAAGTAGCAAATACAACAGATTCCGATCTTTTCATGGAACAAAAAAATATCGGTTAATGTCAGTCGCTTGAATAAGTTGAAAAGAAAAAAAATAACTACCAATAAAAAGAAATCATTTATCATTTTACCATTGCCATTGCAATTGAGTTGATAACAAATATAGGTACAATTTTTGTTTTTCGAAATCGATTGCATTTTCCCTTCGTTTTTAAAGAGAATGATAAAAAAGAACCATATTAAATACAAAGAAAAACCCATATTGATTCAATGTTGAGTTGCACGAACTCAAAACGTACGCAACACTTTTGCTCATAATTTATGGTCTGACCCGCAATATATTCCTCTTGGATTGAAAACGAAAATATCTCGGCTACCTTAAATGCCGTTATATGTTATATATTGAATTTGTTTAACAAGAGAAACAGATAGAGAGAGATAGAGAAGAGAAAAGAAAAGATACGTTCTATATTTCACTAGCATTCGCTGACATTGTTGTGAGTTATTTCCCCATTTTGAAATATATATATGTTAATCCATATAAGCAAAAATCATATACCGATTGCAAAACTATAACTGGAAATTAGAAAATATTGGTCGATAAAACTCACACGTGCAATATAATAATTCCGATTATGTTCACCGTTTAATATTCAATCATTTATTGATATGTTCAATGGCACTCGGTTCTCTGTTACAAGGAGATGCTATTTTTTAGATTTTTATTTCCTGTTTTCATTTCTGCTCAGATTTTTCGAACGCTTTTCGTCTCGTTTGTTTTTCTATTGATTGGATTTTTCTTTCGTTGATTAGGAAAAGACAATGAAACTTCCATTGTCTTTTTTCAAAGAAGATAAAAATGAAAATTGGATTGTCTTTTCCAAAAAAAAAGTCCATCGAAATGAACGAGAGACTAATCGTTCGAATTCTCTGATTTATTTAATGTTATTCAATTTCAATATATAAAAGCCATAGGATTGTATCGTATCGAATTAGTTTTTGCAATCTTGCCAATCAAACAGATCTATTTAACGACAACAAACACAAACAAGTCATAAAATGAACTAAAGCAGAACTCTTTTTTCAAATTAAAAGAAAAATATATTATATATAAATAAATTACATATAGGACACAGATACATTTTTAAATACCGAATCGAGGGTAGAAGCAGATCTATAAACAATTGTTGACTAAAAAAGTGAAATCTTATAATTTACATGTGACAAAAGAGAAGAAAATATAATATCTAATGGTGTGGTCAAATTGTCAGTACGAAGATAGAACCTCAACAACAGCAACAAAACTCAATAAAATATTATCATCTGGACCAATATAGATCTCGTTCATCATACACACGAACTACGCGCAAAATACAAATTGGAAATAGCTAAACAAAAAATCAACTTGGAAAAAAAATTAATACCACATCATAAATACTTGCAATCAGCAAAATGACAACAACAAAATGCGGCGAAAATATTTCACAAGAAAAAAAAACATCTAATTCTTTTTATACCGAAACCGTTTTCATTTCTTCTATGAATGTTCATTTTTGAAACAAAGAAAATTTAACTAAGAAACACAATCAAACAGCGGAAAAAAGTAGTTTTTTTTTCTCTCTCGAAAAATCCGATTTCACTGACTGACCGTATTTTCCTGATAGTTGTTTGACAAACAAAAGATAAAAAAATGAAACCCCAAAAAAAAGTGCGAATTATAAAAGAAAAGTCCTGCATTTATCGTTCAGAACCTCATCTAGAAAACGAAACATTGTCATCTAGTTAGAGAAAAAATGCAACATTTTTTTTTACTCCCGTACGGTTTTCCATGTATAACCAAATAAATACATGGTAGTTGAAATAAAGGAAAATGATAAACAGTAATTCAAACAAAAAACAAATTGGTCATACATTGTAATATTCGGTGAGTGCCACTAAAAAAATATTCACACTCATCTAGTGCGTGAGACGCATACGGATGGGATGAAGCAAAGCGAAAGGGAAGCGCGCAACTAGAACATAGAGTCAATGGGTACTACGTGTTTGTGTTTGTGTCCGTATTCTAACGACGTAGTGATGAAATGTATGCGCGCTATATCGTTCGTTCGAATGGAGTTGCTCTCTTCTCTTTCGCTTTGCTTCATCTCATCCGCGTGCGTCTCACTCACTAAATGAGTGACCATGCGTCTCACGCACTAGATGAGTGTGGATATTTTTTTAGTGGCACCCACCGAATATTACAATGTATGAAATTGGTTAAACCTTTAATTCGCGTTGTTACAAAAAAAAAGTATATTTAAACAAAAAAAAAGTATAATAAAACGAATCTTCCTGTGCTTTAGCGTTAAATGCAGGGCTTTTTATTCTGTTTAGAAATTGTTCAAAACTTTAATAAAGAAAGTGATAAATTCGAAATTGTAGTTTTTAAAAACCAAACCGAACAAAAAAAAAAATACACTGAACATTGAACACCTAATTAAACATGAATCCAATCTAAGACCGATTTCGCTTGAATATAAATTTAATGAGAAAAACAAATGTCCATACACCATTTTCAGACACAAAAAAGTGCATTATATTCTATCCTGATCCGTATGTGATCTGAATACTTGCCAATATGTTTTCGTATTTTGTTTACGAAAACTCAGAGAAAAAACTATATATTTAAGTGATAATTTACATGATTTTATCACAAGATGACTCAAGCACATAGTAATTTAAACAACAACAAAAAAACATGAAGGAAACAACCAACAAAAGAATTACAGTAAAACCATTGTCACTCGGTTGAAAAGACGCCATTTAAATGTTCGAACTATTTAAATGGAGCTAAACCCATTTATTTCGAAAATATTTATTAAAAACCACCACAAAAAAAAAACAACCAACAACAACCATCAACGCTTTATAATCAGTAGTCTTTTCTTTTATTGTAATTTTTTCGTTTTCGACTTTGCATGGGTCACAGCCATATGATTTTCAACATATTCCCTACGCTCAAACATTCTAAAACATTCCAAACATTGAAATACGGTTTTTGTATGTTGAGCAGCCCAATGAGTCCGTAGTTCCTCTTCATTCGCCACCACCTTCATGCAATTCCGCTTGGCACAACACATCGATTGAAGCTGCGGATGCAATTCTTGCATATGGAAACGGATCGCATCCATGGAAAACAAAACAATTCGACAAATTTTACACTGAAATGCATGACCATCCAGATCAAATTCAAAGTGCCTGGTCGTATTGTGACTTCGAAGCGCTGCCTGTAAATAAAATATGAGAAACGTTTAATTAGACCATTTTTTTTCAATTGAAGTTTTAAAAAATTCACTTTTTAGAAAAAAAAATTGTCCGGATTTTTTCGGAAAAATTCCTCACATTTTTCAAATTCCTTGACAATTGACAATATATTGTTCACTCACCAAATTATTAAAAGAAGAAAAGCAAAGGCTACACAGTAAATATGTATCTTGTAAATGCTCCGAGTGACGGTTCAATTGATGCTCGTTCAGCTGTTCCTTTGTCCAAAATATGAAATGGCAGTATCTACAGTTGAATCCAATGGACTTCAAGGAGCATGGATGATATGATGCTTCGACATGCTCACCAATATGTCGCCTTTTTTTTTTAAATCAAAACACAGAGAAATTATTCAAAAAATCGAATATTCAAAAAAATCAAAATAAAAAAAAGAAAGGAAAAAAAAATGTACCTCACCTAATTTTCGTTTTGCCATTAGAGCCAAACTCACAAAATGAACATTTGAATCTCTTTCCAACGGTTTGTTTATGATGCGAATTCTGATTATGTTTCCTCAAGCTGCGATTTGATTTGAAAATTGTTCTGCAAACGTTGCACCTGAATTCGGGTGTTTTCAGGGAGAATCCATGTTTTTTGTGCATATGCATGACATGGACGAATTTCGATCGGGATCGATAATCGCAGACGTCGCATTGATAGGTATTTATTGCTCGTGTTATATTCTCTTCATCTGAATCATTCGAATCATAATCCGATGCGGATGAGTAAACATATTTGACGAGTTTTGTATCGAAATTCATGAGATATCCAACATTTTCATCTCCATCAATTGCACGAATTTCGGCAACATTCTTCCTTGTTCTTTTTTTATCGCATTGTTCGTCACATTGTTCAGTCTTTGTTTTACTTTTACCCTGTTTCAAATAGCTTAAAATAGCGGCAGCATCAAAATTGTGAAAAGTACGAAAATGGTCGATGATTCCGTTAAGGTTAGCTTCTTCGCAGCTTAGATTTTCCGCACAAAAAGTACAATCGTTCTCTGCGTTCAGTAGGCTAGGTGCTGGGTTCCATGAGACGGTTGAAAAATTATGTACAGATCGAAGATGTGGCTCATCGACGGAGGAATTGCTACAGTTATCACAAAAATTGATTTTGAACGGTTTGTCTTGACACAACTGCATGTGTTCATCATATTTCTCTTGAGTATCGAAGCAGTTGGTACAGGACGGGCAATACATAAAACCTTGGCAGTATATTTTATGGTAAATTTTTGGTACCGACCATGTGTAACTCTGGTTACACGTTGAACATTTCGCATGAACATCATCGTGAGAGATTTGAGACTGTAGCGATTCCATATTGTTGTTCAAAATACACCGAAGCAAGGATTGCAGCGAACATTTATGGAAGTACAGGTAGTGTAAAAGGAGCTTGTCTAAGCGATCAACCGATTTTCCATCCGAACACGAGTTGCATCGAAAATCATTTTGGTTAACGGGTGCCAAAGTAATTTTGAATGAACCATCGGCGATTTTGTGTAGCGTTGACAGGTGTTGTTGTTGTTCATCGATTGAGGTCAATAACTCACACAGCTCGCACAATCTCTTGGAATGTTTGGATCTCATGTGCGATTCAAAATCAGTTTGTTGTGGAAATTCATCCGAACACTCGGGACAAATGTGTTTATCACAGTCATGCTGTGTGCGTGTGTGATCTCCCAGCATATGCTCACTTTCGAATAGCTTCAAACAGTGAATGCATGGCAATGCTCCATGCAACGCAATGCAATGTACGGTCAATTGGATCGGTGATGTGAAGACGTTGTCGCAAATCCGGCACTCGTATGTGTCTTTGTTGATTTGAATTTGCATAGTATCCAATTCACCCCAAAAACTCGCCATCATAGTCAAAAGTGAACGTTCACTTGAACGAAATCAATCGTAATTACACTTTCATTAAAAAAAAAACAATAATTATCAATCACATAACACAACGTGCAATTACCTACAACTTTCACTTCGGTTTCGCTTGACCGAATCAACAGTCAGATGGGCTCAAGCACATTGATCATGTTTTGATTTGACAAATGGCTTTGACACGCGACATTCAAAGACAGCAAAACAAATTTGACATCCCTATCGAAAACCATGAAGAAATTGTGTCTCTTTTCGACAGCATTTCGCAACCACAAATGATCAACTTACCAGAATCAGAATTAACACATTTATTTACACACAGATTTATTTCTTTTGTCTGTTTTAAATTATGATTGTTTAATGATCTTTTTTTTTTCATCTTCGTCACAAGAAAATGCATGCAAAATATTGTTATTGTACAGAAATGTGTCGGTTTATTTTAAATATTCTTTTTTCTCTCTCATCTTTTTCCTTTAACGATTTTCCATAAAAAAAAATTGTTTTAATATTGATAATGGCTTCCAAGTGATTCATTAAGCAACAACGTCTTTCAAGTCGGCTGGCAATTCGGATTTTGGATGTTTGTTCTCAAAATGCTGTTTATACGTCTTCGGATCGGGCATTTGTGACTGCAATGATACAGTGAAACGTTAATGTACACTGAAACAAAAAACGCAATCGTTTGAATGCAGTCACTTACTTTGCATACGGCACAACTGATGACCAATGCTTTTTGTGCTGCTTTCTTCTGATCGGTGGCGCTGTGACCGGATTGCTTCTTCATTTTGGCTGCCTTTTCTTGGGCTTTAGCCTGTGATTGGATTTTTTGGTGACCACGTGCCATTTTCTGGAAAGAAATTTTGTTATTCTTCAGTATTATTCATAGTTCGTAGTGGTGGAAAAAAAAAGAAAGTATCTTAAAATAAGTAGGTCTCTTGAAAATGGCGCGCAACACTGTTAACAGGAAGATATTAGCCCAATCTATCAAATTGGATTGTTCTTTCGGGGAACTTTCTATAAAATCAATGAGTTTTCAAAACGTCGTAAGCAAATAAAATCCATAGAAAACGAAATTGGGGCATGTGTGTAGTTTAAGATTTTTACCGTTGCCCCATACACAGTAAGTGGCAGCTGTTTTACTGAAATTGGCTTTCACCTTAAGTGCACACATTTATCGAAGGTAAACTACAGCATTGCATCATCAGCAGACAAACAATTCGCAACAAACAGAAAAAAAAACATTCGATTGCAATCAATTGTGAAATGCAAGAGTTCAATGGTGTTTATCAAAAGTGGGTTCTTCTAGTATTCGTCACCACATTTTTTTATGTTCTTAGTTCATTTCACCAGAGACGTCATTTCCAAGTTAAATAAATCAATTTGTATCTTTATTACTTTAATTCTTTGGATTTTTACCTTGGTTGTAATGATAAATGAAATCGACCAACTAAAACAATATGCAACGTTTTAATAAACTATGTGATTGGGAGTAATAATGAAAAAAAATGAGAATTTTCTTTTCTCGTGTGTTGAAGACAATGCGATACACAACAAATGTCTGTTCGTCGAATAAATAATTCGGGTTGACTAATGCGAAACACACACTCTCTGCACGCACACTTTTTGACAGCTAAACTGACACCACACTCAAAAGACCTTTGCATATACACAGTTCACGGTTGGTGTTGCCAACTGCCAACTTCATACCGATTCGAATGGAGAAAAAACCAGTGGTAATTCAAAAATTTGTTGAATTTGAATTTTTGGACGAATGAAACGGAATATTTAGAAAGATTTTTTCTTTTCCTTTGATGATCAGTAATAAGTTTAGGCAGAATACTTTAAATTTTAATGAATAATTGCATAATAGAAAAAGAAATTATTGAATTATCATTATTGAAGTCTTGGATACGATGGAAATTAGCGTGGGTATTCAGTTAACGGTTTATGACCATTTCAAAAGACTTTTAACGGAAACGAATGAAATTTTCTGTAGATCCAAGCTACCGTTTTTTTCAACAAATTGGAATGAATACAAAAGTGTAAAGACACGTTTTTCCCCCCATATTTAATCAAAACAGCAATAGATTTCAAAATTTGATTTATTTCATCATGATATAAAAATGTTCTTTCATAAATAATATAAATTGGTTTATAACATGTAGTAATTGTTTCCAAAAATATCGCTTAAATGTACAAACTTAACATTATTATGTTTCCCGATTAAATGATAAGACTTTTATTGTTCGACATGGTTGTATTGAACGTATTGTCGTCGTTATCGAATACGAAGTTATTGAACAGTTCAGCCTTTTTCGTTAAATTAAATAGAGTATCGTATTTCTGTTGAATTTCCACTTGAATCTCGTGCAGTTCCAGTTCATTTTCAATGATATCTTTGGCGTAAACGTCCAAATTGTGTTGCACTTCGTCGATGCACAGTTTTAGCCGTAAATTGGTCATGTATTTGTTGTTTTGATTGCGATATCGGTCGCATTTGGCCGATAGATTTTTCATGAGTTGCTCCTCTCGTGCGCTGAGCTGTTGCAATTCCATCATTAACTTGTCGATTTCACGATGAATGTGATTGTCTTTGTTGCCATGTGCTGGCATTTGACGATGACGTATTTGCCGTTGATTGATATTTTCGCATAAATGTTTGATGAGACGCTTATTGTGGTAATTTTGTCGCAAAGCGTCGAATTCCAATTTTCTTGGAATAGATTTACGTTTCGGTATTGCGTTCGCATTACTTACACTGACCTTTGCAGCTGCAACGGCCAAATCGAGCTTTTTATTTAAATAGTATTGTCGATACTCGACGTGTACGTTGCTGTCCGTTTCATCGGTATTGATACCTGTTCCGTCGTCAATCATCAGAAATAGTTCATCGTTTGTGGTGTCGAATTCTGGTTGTCGCCTCTGTGGTACTTTGGCAATGATTTTCGTTTCTCGACTGGTCGACGCACCATCACTACAGCTCAAAGCCATCGAATCCAATCGCATTGTGTCGTGCAAAAATGAGTTCAACAATGAACTTGGGTATTTTTTCGAGCCAAGCTCCCCTCGCAACGAGCTTTGATCATTTTTCACCCTGCATATTTCGAAGCGTTAAAAATCGATTACATCGCGATGATGAGTTGCGTTTTGATTATTTACCTCAATATATCCAACTGCTGTTTAATGCTTTCACCCTGATCAATTAATCGTTTCATGAGCTGTGCTACGGCGGCCGATCTTCGATGGCGTTCGTCCTACAAGTCGAAAAGTAATTTAAACGGAATAAAGAAGTTAAGCAATTAAATGGAATAAAGAAATGACGGACAACAACATGGGTGAGAAGTCATAATGGATATTCATCAATAATATATATTCGAGGAGTCAGTTGACAGCTACGCTGACAGTTGTGTTTTTTTCATCTCTCGTCTTTGTTT